AGTTAAAAGTAATTTGGAAAACAACTGTCTCCTTCTGCATACTGAGACATTAACTGTATGCCCGTTGAATTCTTACAATATCCTTAAATGATTAATTCAAATATCTTCTGCTTCAAGAAGTTTTCTCTCGTCTTCTCAACTGGATATGATCTCTCTATTTCTTCCCAGAAATTACAACTTTAGTTTGTATATCTTGCAGCATTTGCCGGGTTTTACTTATATTGTAGGACATATTTGAGTACTAGCTCTAGATTTCAGCAGATGGTAACTTTGAGTAGAATCTGTTTTTTTCTTACTTATTTTTGTATGCCTTTTGCCAGGTTCTTGAATACGGTATGTATTAACATTGCTGTCTGACTTTCTTGAAAACGTGGGTATTTCTTGTTGTTCTTATTCTTTTTTTGTTGTTGTTCATTCATTTTCCAGTATGAGTGTGTCTGAATGAATTAAAATTCAGATTGGAAATTCAGGACTATGGAATCAAGAGAAGGGTAGAATTTACTGCCTTGTTAATTTTGTCTGCTCCAAAAATGTTTTCTCTAAAATATAGTTTAATGTTGCCTTTAATTCATAATTAATGTATCCCTTTTAGGTTTAAGGGCAGAAATCTCCTTCAAACACAAATAAAAAGGCTTTATGTATTCTAAACACATTCTTTATGATTTTGTAGAGCATTTACCATCTCAGTCTGATATTTCCAGAATGCAAATCCTACTCATAAATTAGTCCTCATATGACAGATATTTGAACTTTTTATTTGTTCTTCTTCTGAAATATATCTAATACCATCATATCTTTCTTTAATTTCCAGGACCAAAAGCACACCCCCAAAGTACATCAATAGCCAAATTATTTCTGATTTACATTTACCCTATGTTTTTAAAAGCCAAGAGCCCTGTTAGCCTTCTTTGGGTGGGGAAACCCACTAAAATACTACTTTAATTTTAATTAAATAAAATTGAAAATTCAGTACCTCAATCACACTACCAACATTTTAAGCCCTGACAAGTCACATGGGGTTGTTGCCTACCTTTTTGGATAATGCAAATATTGTAGAGTATTTCCATCATTACAGAAAGTTCGATGGGGCAGCAGTGGTCTCCAATTTATCTTTTATATAACAGCTTTCGTAGACACTTGACACCAGCTCCATTCAAACTTCCAACTTCAAAACAGAGATGAGTTCTGGGTTTAGTTGCATTTTCCCTGAAAAATTTATTTTTTTCCTTATCATTTGTTTTGTAGTACTTTTTTTTTTCCTCATAATGTAGGCATTTTTCCAGTGCCTGAGAGCTCCCTGATTTTTCTGTTTATCACTGATTTTCAGAAGTTTGATTATGATGTGTCTGAGTGTGGTTTGCTTTGTGTTTATTCTGATTCGGATTCAATGAGATTCTTGAATCTGTGCAATGATAGAGCAATCATTAAATTTGGGAAATTTTGGAAATTATTTTTTTTTCAAGATTTTTGCCCTCCTGGGACTCCAGATGTATGTATGTTAAACAGCTTGATGCTGTCACATAACTCACTGCGGCTCTATTTAGTTTTTTCAGTGCTTTATTTCTCTGATAGATTTTGGATAGTCACTATTTCTACAACTTCACATTCACAAATCTGTTCTTGTGTGGAGTCTTATCAAGTGTAGCATCCATTAAGTGTATCTTTTTATTTTGATTATTGTAGTTTTCATCTTTAGATGATCCATTTGACTCTTTCTATCTTTAATTTCTTTCCTGGTTATAGGGCATGTTTTCTGATTCTTGGGATCTCTAGGAGTTTTTGATTGCATGCTGAAGATTTTATGTTTTATGTTATTGAGTGTCTGAGTTCTATATTTTTAAAAGAAGTGTAGTGGTTTGCTCTGATAGACTTTTAGGTTATTCTGGTTTAGTTTGATCATCTTTGGATTTCTTTCTAAGGTTTGTTGGAGAGGGCCAGAGTACCTTTTCCTGTAGGGATCCTTTATCCCCGTTACTAAGACCTGGCCCTTCTGATGTCCAAACTTGACGCTCCAGGGAGCCAATATGGACTCTGCACTGTTGCTGAGAGGAACTGAGTGATTGTCAGCCTTTTGTGGGTCTGGGAACCATTCGGCCCACAGATTTCCCATCACTTATAACCAGCTTCATAGGAGTTCACTCTTTGCAGGCATTTCCTAGGAATCAGCATAGTTTCAGGGGACCCCCCCCCCCCCAAGATAATTTCTGGAATTAGCTTTCTGTATAGCTCTCTCTTCTCTAGAAATCCACCACACAAGTTCCTGCCTCCTCAGGTGCCCTGAACTCTGATCTCTATCGCCTCAACTCAGGAAGGCCCCTGTCTCTGCTTTCCATTGCACACACACATGCATGCACGCATGCACACACGCACGTGCGTACACACACGCACATGCACACCAGCTCTGCAACCTGAAATAGGCCTTCCAGGCAGAAAGCTGGGCTATCCTAGGCCTTCCTTTTGTTTCTTTTCCCTCAGCTGTCCCGGCTCTGCACTGCCTGAGGTTTAATGTCTGAGAAACAGTTGTTTCATCTATATTAGCCTGGTTTTCTAGTTGTTTGAGTGCGGAGGGTTAATTTAATGCCTGTTATTCCATCACGGCAGAAAGCAGAAATCCTTCTTCAACTGATCGAAGATTCTTGTAACATAGAAACACGAGCTAAATCTTACACTATGAGTTAAAGCTTGATTTTGCAGAAAATGTTGAAACAATAATGTACAATGCTAGGAAAAAACTCTTTCATTATTATAAACACTGATAGAAACAGGCAAGTCAGTCTGTGTGAGACATTAGATACATGTAGATTTCAAGATGATTAAGACTCCTTAAGTAGAATTACACGATTGGCAGTTTGGAGTTACACTTATGAATCATCCACGTAGAGTAAAAGGATGGAGCCAGAGGAATCATGTTGACATTTACATGAGAATTCAGAGTACAGCTATGTCCTCATAGTAAATTTGACTCGGGGTCACTGTCAAAGACAGACCACCTGACTCTGTAAAACTAATCTATCCTAATCTAACAATTCTTGTGTGTTTGCATTCAGCTAATTTATGCCTGTCCAGGAAATAAAATGTGAACCTTAAGAATTATTTATTCTTGAAAGTAACTCTATGATGTATCTAAAAATTTTTATCACATAAGAGTAAAAAAAGAAAATAATATTATGCCTGTGGGTTGCATTACTGATGTTGGCCTGGAGTGGTAAGAAAGATAACCATCAATCCATTCTGGAGCCAAAAAAATGAATTTTTAGTTTATTTTTCCCCCAGTGTGATTAAAATACACTAGATCATATGAAGAAGCTAAACATTTGTTTAAAATAGATATATATGCCTTGATTTTTCTTGTTTCAGTTGATTCTCAGAGCATTTGTCTTGGTATGCAATAGCTTAAATTGCAAAATTAAAAAGAAAAATTATCAGCTTTCCTTTCGTTCAGCCTTAACCTTGAATAATTCATAAGGAACCTACCTAAATGTAGCTAAGGGGAAATAAAACAGGGCAGCAATGTAATCTTTGTTTTTAATGATGACGCACTCTTACTGTTTTTGTGAATAACTAAATGTTTATGAAATCAACGTTCGTTGTAAAAAGATATGTATAATGTTGAGTGTCCAATATTTAGTAAAATTTTAATAATCCAAGATGTGATAATTAACAGCCTAATTGGAACATTTTTATGTTACTTGGTCACTCTGGATTTCAGAAGTAGCTGGTTTAAATGCATAGTGAATAAACTTTCAAGCATATCCAATTTACATGCCTTAAGGATTTCCACCACTTTAATGGTCAATTTAGAAATGTCGTTTAAAATTGTTTTTTAAAAACAAGATGCATTTATTAATTATTTTTATAGCTATAAGATTTTAAAATAGATTCTTCATAGAAAAATATATTTGTCACTGATAAAATGTGTCAATTAGCTAATGTTCAACAATGATCATCAGTGTCACAGATTGCATCCTGGCTGAAATTTTATTTTCACCATATTGGTTTCTTTAAATTGTTAGGCATTTTAGAGAATGATGCCTGGCAAAAAAAAAAAAAAGATTCTTAATAAATATCGTTGAATGAACGAATGAATGAATTAATGAATTTTTAAAGCCTTAAAAAATCTGTAAGTGCTGGAGTACTTAAAAATAAAGGTTTAATTGATTTTAATTAAGCACAATTAAACACTCTGCCAAACTCAGAAAACAATTTTTAGGCAACATAAGAGCTGTTAGTTAAATGAATTTAAAATAATGTTAAGAATAGAAATTTCGACACAAATACCCCGGTCTACTAATTTGCTGATCATTGATGAAAACTAGCCACACGTGCTGATTTCTTTTTTGAAACTAACATTTGACATTAGCTGAATTAAATAGAATGTACAGAATTAATTCTGGTTAAATCTCTTATTTTCTAAGTCTCATTTTCCTTATGTTAAATTTTCCAGTTAATTTTTTTATTTTTAATACCTTTTTTTCTCTTCCACAGTTTTTAATGGACTGAATTGTTAGTTTCTGATAGGAGGCTTCTGATAATGAAATAGCCAATATGTCTACATATCATCGAAAATGTAGAAATAAAAATGCATGTTCTCAACAATGAATGAGGTTACTTTGTTGTAGTCCGTCATCAGACCTTGGCCATACTGGATTTACTTTTTCGATAATAGAATAAGGTGGCTTATTCCTCAAACTTGCTTCTGAAAAATTGATAGACTGAAAAAAAACCCACAAAAGGTTTAGTCGTTATGCCAAGCTGAATTCTGGATAAGTAAATCAGAATTTATTTATAACTATGTGCTAAGTGATCATAAGTATTTTCCTATTGCATTTTGTAATGCAACACTCACCATTTCTATTATAAATTTTCTTCTCAAGAAAATCAGTAACAGTTATGGATTTGAGGTTACCTGGTACACTATTGAAAAAGTGTTGAAAGCCACTGGTATCCATTGAATTTAATTATTTTCCTTTTGATTGTTGTTTGGTTTTTTTTTGTTTAAGGATTAAAACAAGGTGAGCCGACCATGACTGGCAAAACACAGACCAGCAATGTTACCAATAAGAATGACCCCAAGTCCATCAACTCCCGTGTTTTCATCGGCAATCTGAACACAGCCATTGTCAAGAAAGCTGACATTGAAGCCATCTTCTCAAAGTATGGAAAAATAGTTGGATGCTCAGTTCACAAAGGTTATGCGTTCGTACAGTACATGAGTGAGCGACATGCAAGAGCTGCAGTGGCCGGAGAAAATGCCAGGATCATCGCGGGCCAACCACTTGGTAAGTCACGCTTGGTTATGGATTTCGCTCTGCACACATCTGGATACGGTCTTGTTCTAAAGCCAGCACTACCATAAGATCCATCTCTTCTTATAGTACTTATATATTTATAATTTATGTTATTTTCTTGTTCTCATTTGTTTTGCATATGTGTCTTATTTTCTATACAAATTCATAAACGAGATCACTTCTGCTTGGTAATACTTGTTATCTCCACCAATCCTAACAGGGCCAGACGAATAAAAAATACACATCCTATTTAACTTTATTTGACTTGAAATGGTATCTATGTTCCAGGAAACACTAGCCTAAGCAAAAAATAACTTTGAATTTGTACATATAGCATTTGCTCTGAGGGGCTAATGTATCCTCCTCATTTCCTGTTTTTATTTTTTGGGGAGAAGGGATAGAAAATAGCAAAAGGACGTAAATCTTGAGAACTGGAAAAGAATTTAACCCCCTCTTTCTTATCTAGTCGGGAATCTTGTACATCATGCCTGTTCAGCCATGTGCATTAATTAGATTTATGTCTAACGTCCAAAGAATAATATCGTTTTATCAAGAAAGGAGAAATTATAATCTGAAGTAAAATGAAAATACCTACGAGAAAATATTTTGTAATAAATATGTAGGTAAAAAATAAAAATTAGACAATCTAATTTTCTACACAAGGAAAAAGTATAATTAATACATCAGTGATTCCTTAATTTACATCTCTTTTGCTGGTCAGTTTCATATATTAAACTATTTATACGACACCTTCTCTTGGATGTCCAACAAGCATCTCAGCTTTATATGCCCAGAACAAAATTCTTGATTTTTCACACCCCCAACTTCCTCCACCCTCAGACTTCATCACAGTAAATGGAACCCCCATTTATCAAGTTTTTCAAACAAAAACGTAGGTTAGGTGTAAACTCTGATTTTTCTCTTCCCCTCTATACTCCAGATATAATCCATCATCACATTTCTTGCCATAGATATATCCCAAAGTCGATCACTTTTTAAATCTATACCAATAGCCATCTCTTACAGGCCACTCTTATATCTCAGGTGGATTAGTAGAATAACTCCCTCACTGGTCTGCTGCTTTCTGAGCTTGCCAGAGTGTCCCTTTAAAAATGTAAATGAGGTTACGCCATTAACCTGCTCTTAAACCTCTTACAGCCTTTCCATCTCACCCATAATAAGATTTGTATTCTATATTGTTCCTACAATGCCCCACACTTCCACATTTTCAACTCTATCTCCTTCTTCCCTCTGCCTTGTAGCGTGTTAGTAATGCTGGCCGTCTTGATATGCCCAGATGTTCCCAGGTTGTTCCTGTCTCAGAGGCTTTGCACTTGCTGTTCCCTCTGCTCAGAAGAGAAGTCTTTGCTAATTATTTGGTCCCTGCTTTGTTGTGTGCTGTGCACGAATTTTGCTTACCCAGAGAGGCTTTTCCTGACCGAACTATCCAAAGTGAGATAGCCTTCTGCTCTCTCCCCTCCCCTGTCTGCTCCATTACTGTGCTTCTTACTGTTCTCGTAGCTCTCTTCGGTATCTGGAGTTGCATATTTTAATTTATGATGTTACCTCTATCATGGCCACGGACATAAAGATGAAGGAGCATATAAAGGAGACAAGCTAAGAGCATAGACAAATCAAGTTAGAAGAGTGTTAAGAATATTGTATTATCAAATTATATAACATAGTTAAGAAATTGTTTAGGAAAGTATGGAATAAAATGAGGGTGAAGTCGGAAGTAATAGTCTTGAGAGGAAAAAAAAGATGCTTTACGTAAGTTCTTGCTATAGACCCATAAATAATCGTAACCATATAGGAATATAGCACCCGGGATCTGAACCGGCGAACCCCGGGCCACCAAAGTGGAACATGGGAACTTAACCACTGTGCCACCTAGCCAGCCCCTAAATTGTTTCTAATAAGATACCATTTTTCATTCCCAGTCTCTCATCTTGGATCCTCTCTTGGTGGTGTTCTCAGGTTAATCTCTGGGGCATCCATCTTAATCAGCCTTAATCACACTTTCTTCCTGAATCCAAGGCAAAAACTTTCTATTCTTTTAGTTGAAATCTAGTCTTTCACTACTTGTGTCTAAGCTGAATATTGTTTGATGCAAAGGAAGTGCTTTATGACTTAACTAATAACTTTGCTTTTCAGGTCAAGTATCGCAATATACCCACCTTTTCTTAAACCATATTACTAGAAATTCAGGCAAAGGCATGTCTCCCGGTTCTTCCTATGGGAAGCTCGTTCCTCAATCAAGTCCAGAAGAAGATATATCCACTTCTGGCTTTAAATACTTAGTTTTTCAGGAAGTATTATCAATTTGTGGCTTTAAATACTATATAGTTGTGTGTCACTTAACAACAGGGGTACTTTCAGAGAAAGGTGTTGTTAGGCGATTTGTCATTGTGTAAACGTCATAGAATGTACTTACACAAACTTACATAGCATAGCCCACTACACACCTTGACTCTATGGCACTAGTCTTATGGGACCAGCATCATAAATGTGGTCCATCGTTGACTGAAACGTCATTATGACTGTACCTTTGTTTTTGTTTTTGTTTTTAAGATTTTATTTTTTCCTTTTTCTCCCTAAAGCCCCCCCGGTACATAGTTGTATATTCTTCGTTGTGGGTCCTTCTAGTTGTGGCATGTGGGATGCTGCCTCAACGTGGTTTGATGAGCAGTGCCATGTCCGCGCCCAGGATTCGAACCAACGAAACACTGGGCTGCCTTCAGTGCAGCACGCGAACTTAACCACTCGGCCACGGGGCCAGCCCCTGTACCTTTGTTTTTGGTAACAGAGGACAACTTAGATTTAGGTAAATCACTTGGATCTTGAATCTTTTGACTCTCCAATAAACTCTTTATGATTTGCAACCCTTCACACCCTTAATTTGAAGTGAATTGATTATGGATCAAATAATAGACCACTGTGATATGAAACTGATATTAGCTTCATGTACTACGAGCTATCTAAGCATGCTTCTTTCCCTTTAGAGAAAGAAGGAATTAATATTGATCAAGCCATGTGCTGGGCTAGTATTTTACCTATATTATTTGATCTCAGTGCACACTAAGTATCTTCTTCTAAGTAGAAACAATCTTTTCATATCACTACATGTTTAAAAATCATTATATATATAATTCAGAGACCAGAATTAAACATCAGTATTACCAGAAAAATTAAGCATCATAATGAGGAGTTTTTATAGTTCTGTGGAGATTATAGATATATCCTTCAGTTAAAAATAGGCTATGCATGTGTCGAAACCTAGCATTTCTTAAATGGAAAATGTTAATAGCTATTTTGCTTCTGCAAGTAATGGGGACACTGAAGGATTTTAAGTTTGGAAGTAATATGTTGAAATGTCTTTTATTGAAAGAATAATCCATCAGCACCTGGATGGGTAGATTTTGTTGCTGTAAGACTAGAAAAGGGGACACGTCTTGGGAGCCTACTGAAAGAATTCAGGGTTCCAATTCTGGAAATGAAGAGGGAAAAATGAGGAAAATCAGGTAGGATCAATAAGATCTAATAACTTGTTGGCACAATGGGTGAGAAAAAGAAAAGAGAGAGAAGAATCAAAATGATTCCCATATTTCTGGGTTCAATTTTCTGTTGGATAGTTTTGCAGACCACTAGGATGATGGAGAATGATTTCCTAAGGAAAAGCGGTTTTCTTCTAAGACAATAGGCTCTGGAGTGAATAGATGTATTAAGGTTAACGTGAATGCCTGAGGCTATCCAGGTATATGTATTTAGGAGTATCTTGGATGCACAGGTCCAAGCTAAGAGGAGACATTTGGACTAAGATTAGAGTTTTGAGAGTCATCAACACAGATAGTGTTAAAACTTTAGAAATGGATAAGCTTGTCAGGGAAAGTATATAGCGTAAGAAGAAGATTTCTGAAGATTTTTTCTGTTGAGAAAATTTTAAGTCAATAAAAAGAACTTTCCTTCTGATAAGCCTTCTGAAAATCTAAATCCAAAATATTTTCTACACAGCTATTCGAGCTGTAGTTACCGTGGCTTTCCTCAGTTTCCCGTAGTGGATGACTACCTTCTGAGCTCAGAGTCCTTAAGTCACTTTTCTTAAACTGCTAATGATTTCTAAACTTCCAAGGCCATATGAGAAAAAGTTCCTATTGATTCTAATATTTAAAAATCTCATTTATGAGAGCTTATTTTCTTTCCACACCAATGTCTGCTATACCCAATGCCATCTGCCCAGCTGAGTAGCAGAGAAAACTTTATCTACCTTGCCAAGTTTCATTATCTGTCTTTAATAAAACCATTGGCATAAAAAGAAATGTTCCTCAGACCAATTGCAAGTGAACCATTGCAGATCTGGTCAGGGTAATTTTATTCACTTGACTACATTAGTACACCTGAAGAATTTAAGAACAAGAATAACATGTACCTACATTATAAAATATTCTTTTTATCTTTCTGGAGAAAACATCTTTTAATTTGAAATTATCATCAAATTCTGATTTGAAATTTTAAAGTATCTATTTTATCTTCTTTTCAAATTCATATAAAATGAGAAATTGTTTTAAAAATCACTGAATCCCAACTGAAAATTGCATTGCATTGCATAGCGTAGCTAGGGGAGGTCCGAAATTGGAGCTCAAAATACTGGGACTTGAATCTGGATTCTGAAAGTAGGTCATGGTCTAAGGTCTTGATTAACTTCTCTCCCTATGATTTTTATTCTTACTGTGTTGACAGAGATTCCTAAATTCTATACCATAACCCATGAAAAATCACCTTGGATTAGTTCAATGGTCCATCCATTTTATCAACATGATAATGAACCCAAGGAATGTTTTATTGAATGCAAAATTTGTTTCCTGAGGTTATTTCCCTTAAAGGCATATACCACACAAGGTTCTAGGTAATTTCATTTAAGCTTATTTGCAGTAGACTTCTTTGCTGCAAACATTTTTTCCTGATAACTAATTAGCCATAGGGCAAATGTGCTG